AAGATTATGAGTTTGTCTTGAGTAAAAAACCCATAGTATTCCTGTTGGTTTTATAATTACCCTATACAAACACGAATTATTGCATAAACCAGGATGAATGCATACAGCTGCGTCCCACAGCAAAGGTGCCTGAGAAATAGAAAATTAGAATACTGCTTTTTCTGTTATCTTTGCAGAATGTTCAGTGGCAATGAGCTTGTTGTTTCCTGTCTGGAGAAATATTACATATATGGGAGACAGATCTCGAAATATGTGGACTGTGTCACGTTCCCTTGCACTAACCTAAGTCGTAAGATTGCAAGGCTAAAGCAGAGGTCTTCCACACGCTCGCTCTCCGCACCTTGCAGCAAGGGCTCTGTCAAGCCCATCTGTGCTTGCTCATTGCTGGAAGCACGTATAGAGGAGATGCAATCCAAGGGGATTCCTCTATACTGCAACCCTCCAGCAGCCTGCAGCCTCCAGCGGGGGTAAGCACGGCACTGCAGCACTGTCTGCCCTCTGCTCATGGGCAGTGACCACCCTGAACACTGCTGCACTGGAACTGGCTGCCCAGAGAGGCTGTGGAGGCTCCTTCTCTGGAGATCTCCCAAACCCACATGGATGCCTCCCTGTGCCACGTGCTCTAGGTGTCCCTGCTGGAGCAGGGGGTTGGACTAGATGATCTCTAGAGGTCCCTTCCAACCTCAACCACCCTGTGACTCTGTAGAAAGTGCTGGATCCGGCATGCGATGAGGGAGGCACCTTTGGCTCCAGCTACTTAATACTTGATACAGTTTATCAAAAAAAACAGCAGACAGACTTGTTTAAAATAACTATGGAGTAATCTCACTTACGTGTAGGAAACCCATAATCGAGCATTGTCAATTGGACCATTGCTGAATTTTGAAATATTATCTATTTTTAAAGGAATTATTTAGTGCAATTTATAGCAAGTAAGTTGTGGATTTCAACTGTGCAACAAAATGTTTTAATTTTTGGATATGAAAAGGAATTAAAATCTTAAATTTGAGAATTCCACTTGCATTCTTAGATTAGAGCATACATAAAAATGTAAGTTTATATTTGACGAAAAAGGGTCAGTGAAGAAAAATGAGGTACAACATCACAACATCAATATTTATAAGAAACATGTAAAACTATTTCAACTAGGCTTCTTCAGAAGTGCTTTGTCTAGGCTAGACTGTCTTTTTGGTGGCTAACTGCAGTTTCTGCTGTGTACGAGCAGAACTACATGGAGCCAATTTAAAGATCTGCTTCACATGTTGTTCTAGTAAGTTTATTAGCCCAATAGAGTAACAGGTAACCAGCCACACAAAAATGAATGGAAGTTATTCAGTAAGCATGTGCAAAAGTAAATGTTTAACCAGTTATAGCACTACTGTTTTAATTCTTTTTCAAGCCTATTGATGTCTATTACTTTTTGGAAAGTAGCTGCATACAAACTTTAAACTTCAATCCTGTTTGAGTCACTCAAGCGCAGACTTTTAAGGTTAAAATAAAAGATTTAACCATATTCATACACAATGCGTTTTAAAAGTAGTTGGACTTTGTTCAAGCATTCAGAAAAATCATCTCTGAGCTGGGACTAATCACAGAAGACCTAATTCCTCAAGGAAACTGTTCTGGGAAAGTTACAAGCAGTCAGGGTAGGAATTTATAATGGAAGCTGGCTTGCAACCTTGGGCTCTCATCCCAAAAATGTTTACACACGTTTAACTTTGAGCATATGAGTATCTCATTAAATGCACATATAAGGCCTCAGTGTTGCAACACGCTTCGTGTAGACAGAACACGATGTGATGCTTTGCCGAAATCCGAGGGGGTTACGTGAAGACACCCTCCTGTAGGAAGCTCCTGCTGGGTTCAGCCGGAAGGGAATTCAACTGTTTTGTCTTGCACTGACCCAACAGGCACCCCACGAAGTTAGCTGAAAGATCGGATTGATTATCAGTTAAAAAGAGAAGGGAAAAAATATATTCTCTTAAAAGGCAGAATCCTGATTAACTGTGTGCTGTTTCCTAGTGTTATGAGCTGCCTGTATATACTGCATATAGACAGTGCGCTACGCTCATGAAAGGACCAAGGGTTGCAAATCCACCTAGAGATCCAAGCTGAATGCCTGCATTCCAGATACCAAAGGAATTAGGCTGCAAAAGGTGGCATTTCCAAAGCCACACGTGACTTCACACTAAATGGCAAGCTAGATAAGCTAGCTAGCAGGAAAAGGCAAGATGAAGGGGTGAAATTCAGATCTTCTGTACCAGGATGAAGCAGCAAAAGCCCCATCTCCATGTGACCTTGAATCTTCTCCCTTTACACAAAATGGAACTAGTAAAACAGCTTTTCCAGAGTCTCAATAATTAAACCCCACACACCGAATACAGGAGCCTCAAATCTGCTTTCTGCCTGGAGGAACTAGAATTTACATCTCCCAGAAGAACTCTCTAATGACTCAGCTATATGATATAATAGGTTGGATTCTCACAATATCTCCCCTTGGAGCTCTACCACTCCTCATGACACACTTAAATATTCACTGCGGTAAACGCCAAGCTCAGGACCTTCTCCCCTTGTCCTGTTGAGTGTCCTAACCAGCAGGTTTCATAACCAGGTTACAGAAATACCAGAGTATTGAGCTGGCCTCTCTCAAGTCCTGTGAACATTTAATTATTCCATATAAACTGGCACAATTTCAAAAGAGTGATTGAGACATCTCTTCCCCAGCTTGTGGATGTCCATAGCTGGATGTGCTCCTTGAAGACGGGAAACATGAACCTGGATGGAGGTGAACATCCTATCCACTAGAAATTGAGAAAATGGGGAGGGGGTGGAAACTTTTCCCTGTCTTGGTAGGGGAACAGGTCTCAGTGCTTAGTGGGCTCCGAAAACGCTCCTAGGTGGGGTCCTGCAGGTGAGGGGGTGAAGCAATGGCAAGAGCACAGATTTCAGATGGACTTATGTCGCAACAAGATGCCTCCTCGCTTGGCACTCGCAGCCTTGGGCATCTCTGTGGGAGCTAAATAAGAGACATGCGGACGCTTAGGAATATCTTCTGGCACACACAGAAACACCTGGTGCCTTCAAGAGGCAAGATGGTGGCCGAGGGGACATTGGGGGAGTCTAAATTTTGGACAGGGAAGAGCTGCAGCAGCAGCGAGTGGGCACCAAGGCAGCAGGGAGGCAGCCCCGGAGCACGTGGAGCTTCGCCATTGGACTCCGGGCAGGACCAGGAGGTTCTTCTTTCCTCAGGGGATGCCGGTGGGGTGAGGGGAGACCAGGGGACTTCACCTCCCCTCCTTTAGCAACTCCACAACAGCGTTTTCGAAAGGCGCTTTGAGGCACTTTCACTAGAGCCCGCGCCGCAGCCGCCGCAGCAGCAGCC